AGCGGCAGGAGGCAGCGTAAAGAAACCCAGGCCCATCGCTTTGCCCGTCGCATAAGCAAATACTATTAAGTTAGCCGTTTGACAACGTTGAAATGGAATTAAACCTTCGGGTATTAAACGGGATTAACACAAGGAAGATTTTGTGCTCTGCTGTGTCCTGTCGCTATACGCCGACTTCATTAGGAGGGCAGTGACGGGGGTGAGGACATGAAAAAGCAGCCTGGGAATCATTAACAAAAATAACAAACCTCAGCAGCACTTACTGAGTCAGTGCCGCTGACTTGGGGAGGGGGGGGAACCTTGCTGCCTTGCTAATTTGCTGTAGAACACATTAACCCAATATTGTATTTCTCATTATTCTTAGCCTCACTTAGCTGTTGTTAAGCCATTTTCTGTTGTCACTCCTCTTAATAAAATCTGTGACTTGAATAAATTTCCCCAGCAACTTTGTATTGGCACCGCATCTGCGGTATCAGCGAAAGATCGTCCTTTATCTGTTCCTTACAAAACGTACCCTGATTGAAGTTTCCCATTGTAGTGCTTCTCCTCCTGGGATTTAGTATCGAGCAAGGCGGCTTAGTATGAACATTTTGTTTGTATTGATGGGCAATCAGTTGTTGTTCTGATAATGCTGAAGAAAACAGACGACAGCAGCCCTAGCAAATGCAAATGAAACATGATCACCTTATCTTATAATTGCTTGCGTAAACAAGCGCTGAAAAAAATTAAGACTGCAACAAGCATTTCCTTGGAAAAAAATTAAGTTTTTGCTAAAATGAGCTCCTCTCTCCTGGGAAGCGACGCCAGCTCTGTCATTGCCCCTTTTGTCCGCCCCTACACGCGAGCTTGATTTGGTCAGCGGACGTACGGGCGCGTGAGGTGAAACTTCGCCTCGCGAAAAGAGAACGCAGCGCCGAGTCGTTGCGCGTACACCGCGGGAATACGGGAAGACTTTTCGTTGCAGTGTTTTCCGCAGATGAGTGGCGTGCTGATTTAAATCTGTTCGGGCTGTATTGATTACAGTCCCCCTGTCCATCAGCATCATCCGTCATCGTCGTCGGGCTGCTGGTATGACAGCTGTGAAGGAGCGCAATAGAGGTGACTGGCAGAATGTTTTGCATCTAATGAGCCCGCGCACAATAAGAGTATAATAAATAACGCTCAGGAGGAACTCGGCTATCGCTTCAACACCGAAAGAGAGATACTGCCTCGGCAGCGCTCCCAAAGCCATCTGTCATCTGTCACGGGCTGAGCTGGACCCAGGGAGTGGAACGCGCCGCATATCGCATGAGGAGATACACAGCGGGCTGACATCGAGAACCCCGGATCGCTCGGGAGCAGCTTAAAGCTACAAAGGCCCCGCAGATTGGGTGCCATGTTACTTAGCAGGGGCTGCTAGAGAGGCTTTTTCCAGATGAACCTTGGTCTGAGGTTCACTGCAGAGTCACGCAGCCGCAGCCTGCCTGTGGCGCGGCGTACCTGTGAGCTTACATTTAGCAGATGGCAAGGACCATTGGGGATGAATTACTGCGGCGTGGGGGCAATCGGAAAAAAGCAGGAAGGAGCAACGAGCCGGGCCCAGCCCTCGGTCCCGATACAGGCCTGCAGAGGACAACCGCCCTCCAACACGCTGCCAGGGCAAGCCCGCTGAGATGCCCCAAACCTGCCCTAGAATCGGGGAAGGGCAGGGGGCCGTTTGCTGGCTGCACCGGCTGGGCAGCGGGCACGGAAGCCCTGGCACAGCGGGGGACGGTAAAGCCTCCGGTGACGTCCAGCTCCGGTCGAGTCCCACCGTCACACCCGCCATCAGCCCTGGGCTCGCAGGCGCCAGCTCCGTCCTTTGCGCATTGGGTTTTCCTGTTCTTGGAACGCTGAACCCCGCACCACTGCCAGCGCCAAATGGAAACCCATGGCACTACAGCAAGCACCTGTACTAAGGGGCTCTTCCCCTTCAGGCCTTCTGCGAGCCTTCCTCTCGTATTCTCGAGCTTGTCGCGGGCTACACGCTCTTTTTATTAAATTGAATATTGTTACCATTTTAAAATTGGTTTTGATGGACTGGGCCCAAAGATGGGTGCCTGTATTCAAAGATGCAATACTGCTTTGCAGAGGAGTTTAATTGGGGTGCTGCTTTTTGCTTTTGAACTGATCGTAATTATGAACAGATTTTTTTATTTTTTTTAATATGTGCCCTGGTTTCTCCCTTCGAAAGAAAATCTCATGTTTAATGAACTTAATTTTAGATAAAAGGAATTAAAAGAAGAAAATTAAAAATGCATGAAGCTCCTAGAGTCATCCAATTACTGTGATGTCCACACAGCAATGCCAGTGTGGATTTTACAAAGCAAGGAAACGCAGAAAATCACTGGGGCTCGCCACATGTAAATGCTGCTCTATTCCAAAACGCGCTCAATTAGAAATGTACATTTTATGCATTTCTTCTTCTTGATCTGGTGCAGAAGATAAAGATCAAACATGCCAGCCCACCCTGCGGGGTGTAGGCATGCATACCCAGAATGCTCGCTTGCTTTTTTCAAAACCCCATCTAGCTCTGCAGTCAAAATATTAGAATATGTACCAGCATGGGAAGGGGACGGTCTTTCCGCTCGCAGTGCAGCAAAAGCAGCGGCCAGGTTTATTCCCCAAACCCCCCCCAAATCAGCTCAGTCTTAGGGGCAGGATTGACATCAGGTACGGAAAAGACTTAGTGGTTAAGAGAAAGCGCACACACACCCTCCCGGAGGCCGTGTATAGTACTGAGGAACGTTTATTCTGCATCTAAATTTCCTTTGGCTATAAAGCGATGAGCTGCACTTTAGAGAGCAGCACTCTCACTATGTCCAAGATGATGTTGGTTGTTTCTTCCCAAAAGAAGCGGGGGGAATCAATCATAGAAATCATCAAATTCATCTTCTTCTGTACCGTGAGTTTGGGGGCGCAAAGCGGCCTCAATCTCGGAGCTGCTGTCGTCAGATTCGCCCCAGAAAGCTGTGGGTGAGGAGAAAAAAAAAAATTATAAATGACATAAACATGGAAAAGATTTTATGTCACAGGTGGGATCATTTTACAGCTCTCCAGAGGCAGACAGACACCACAGCTTATGGAGCAGGTCAGAGGTTTGAAGACTGCGAGAGCCGGGTGCGTGTTTCCGGTGGCGCGAGCTGTCACCACGCGTGGTCTGCGACACTGAGCTGCTGTGGCTGACCAGCGGGCTCGTCCAGAGGTCCCACTCCATCAGCCCTCGAGGTGGCTTGGGACAACGTTTCCACTCCAAGCAATTTACTTGACCAGCTGCTGCCTGAATTACGGCTTTGTCTATTATCTTCCACTTTCTCTCTCTACTTGACCCTGCGGTGAAGTCACGGTCTGACCATGACATCACAGAGTTGGCATAAAAATGGCAATGATGTCACATGTGAAAAATCACCACTTTGAGATAGGATCAAATGCAGGCAAGACGGACTGCAAAGACCTGCACGGCTTTAACAAACAGCTCTGGGAACTAGCAAATAATTTTACTGAAATAAACAGAATCACGTTTAAATTCGCAGTGCCCGAGAGACGCCTCAATACGTAAATTCATCTGACCTGCGGAACAAAAGAGAAGCGAAAAGCCTGGCACGCGGGAAGCGTGGGTCAAGCCCGATCCCTTGCGGAGCCGCGCTGCCTGCCTGCTCCTACACTGCTTTTGAGGGCTGCGCTTCGTCCGAGGCAGCACGACGGCCGCCATGCCCCAAGCGACGTGCAAGACTGGGCGACAGGGAGTCAGGCGGCAGGAGAGGGGCAGGCTGTCGTACCTCACGCGGGGATTTCAGCTCGACTGAGGCGCTTTCAATGCGTTCGGGGCTTTTGATGGCCCCGAGCTACATAAACATCTTATCTACAAATGCAGCAGCTGCATCTTTCATCCTATATCCCTGGCCCCCCGGACTGCAGGTCTGCGCTCGGCCGGGAAGGGCAGAGTGGTGCTGGCTGCACCCGGCGCTCGCTCCCACGCCGAAAGGTGCCAAACCCCCAACTCCCTGAGAGAGAAGGAAACGGGGGATGCGGAGCGCCTTTCAAACAGCCCCAGAGCAGCCATCGCGTATGGCATCCTTAAGCCAGCTCAGCTGCCGCACCGCTAAAACATCTTCTGTACCCTTGGGGAGTGCTCAGCTCAGAGCTCTCCCTGCTCCCCGCGCTGACTTCGCTTACGGGAGGCTCTGTCAGAGGTGACTTCAGACACCGGGGGTCCTTCTGGGGGTTAAAGAGAGAAAAACGAGATGCCGGGGAGAAGGAAAGCACACAGGGCCCCAACGCCCACTTAAAAGAAAGCCTGCTTGTTCACAGAAAAAAAATTGTTCTGGGGTTTTTGTTGCAGGTGCACGGGCACCTTTGTGCACCGACTAGTTGTAAGTGTGCACACACATGTGCTGCTGCCTACCAGTTGTAGGTGTGCACAGCCGTGCTGCTGCCCGCCTGCCGCTGCACCCCGTATTGCAACGGGATGATAGGAAACGGCGGGGTTTCCTTCTTTAGCTTTTCTCCCTGCTATTCACCACTGTTTGATCTAAACCCTGAAGCAAAGATCGCTCCTTCCACAGCCAGTGCACCACAAAACACATCCTCTCTCGTCCAGAATTTGTCATCGTCAACTATTTTCTGTGTAGAGACAGGGAAATTCCCATCTCCTTAGGCCCATATTTTATATGGTTCCATGGTGTTGTCCTTAGAGGTTTTCCACAATACAAATTGCACTTAGAAAGACATCTGTTTTAAATAGCATAACATTGGGGGTTTACCTTTGGTTTTTATAGCTGCCACCGTTCCCTTCCTGGTTTCAGTCCTGTAAAAGAGAAAGATTTCTAATAATCAGCACAATGTCACAAAATTAAGAGAATGTCAGTTGACTTTTTTTCTTTTTAAAAACTGAGATGGTTAAAAAAAAAAATCAGTAACTTCTGTAATTACTTTTCTGTTTTTAAATAACTATTTCATCAAAGGTTTCTTCACTTTTATGTCTTCTAAAAGGTGGAGGAATTACCATGCAGCAGGGACACGGGTCCAGATGTTCAGGCAGCGTGACCTGGAGCCATCCCTCGGTAACAGCGCGGATTTACACCAGTAGTGAATTAGGGGCACAAAGGAGCAGAGCTCCGTCTATCTTTTGCAGCTTTTCAGATAATGCAGGGAAAGTAAAGAGAGAAAAAAAAAAAAAGCAAACGCAAATAAAAGCACCCCCACTGCTGCCCACTGAGGTTCTCCAGCCCCTTCCTGCCGGCGCGCTCCTCCAGCCCAGCCACCGGGTTCCCATAGCATCACCCGCGTCCCTATGTAAATGTGCAACCTCCCGGCTGCCTTTGATCTACCTTGATGTATGTGCAGTTGCGATTCTGTTCTGCTAAATGACTGCTCTTGTGCCTGGAGCATCACAGGCCCTTTTGAATCTCTCAAACAAGCTGGAATCATTTTGATCTTTTGTGTGTAGCGTGCGTATTGTGTTGGTGCTGTGAAATAATCACATAGGGGCAACGATGTAGGAGAATTAACTGTTATATTAACGGTCCTGCAATAATCTCTAAAAATAAAGCTTCAGCTGATTTTAATAATCAACTCCAACAAAAATCAGAGATATTTGTGACATTACTGTGCGAACTAGTAAAATACAAGCAAACATCAGGCTGCAGCTTGAAGCTGTTCCCGCAGTCAGAGCGGGACCTGATCAGCTGTCAAAAATTTCATGCGTTTTGCTGCGTTCCATGTGAAGACACGGCAGCTGATACAGAAGTGCTTAAAGTGCGAGTTAAAAATATTCTAACTACTGTTGGGCAGGCGGCTGTGAAGGAGATACACAAAAAAAGCAGAGATGATTCACTGCCTGGCTTAGCCCACTGCATTCGGTAAGAATTTGGGATCGCAGCTGGAAAGCTAGACTTAAAGCAGGGGGAAATCTCGTTACGTTACAGAGACTTTCCCTTTTAAATAAAGGAAAGTTCACGCTGTTTAAGTCTCATTCCTTTTCTAAAGGCTGTGAATGCTGCGGGCACACAACCTCCCTCTCTGCAGATACACAAAAAATTCCTGGAAATGGCGTGTTACACGTAGCCCAAGTCCCACCAAGATACCCAACTGAGGCCTCAGTCCTCGTAACGAGTAACGGGACTGGTTGAGCATTAACAATGCGACATAATATTAACTTCTTATTTCCTCAAGTAAAAAACTAAGTTAGCCTTCAAATGCTTATCCGAGGTTTTGTCAGCATGCCATCCAAACCCCTTTCCGTTTCCCTCAACCCCCACGCTGTGTTATACTTCAGCTTCTCGTTCAAATACATTTACTCAACAGTATTTCCAGCAAGCGTTTTAAGTCTGGGCCCCGGGCTGAGTCCCGCCATACGCTGCACGCCCTTAACTCTTGCTCGCTTTGGTGAGATTCCACGATCCTCAGCGCTTCCCAGGAGGAGCTCCGGCACATCCCAGGCTCAGCCCGTAAAAACGCTCTCGAGAGGCTGCAACTCCGGCGGCTGCATCGCTTTTCCCCTGGGCGTAGAACGAGAAACCACTTGTTGCTGAGCCTCAAATTGAGAGGTGACTTCTGCGGCAGCCCGCACGAGAACCGTTTTATCCTCAAGTAGTTCAGTAAAACGAGATCAGGCGGCTGGCAGCGACCGCTTCCGCTGCCGGCTGCTTCGTCCCCCTCGTCAAGGAGGGAAGGCGCGTGGGGCTTCGCTGTTCAGGGAATACTGAGGTCCCTACAAGTGATTTTTTTTTTTTTTCCTCTCCCTCTCGGCTTCTCTCAAGCCCAAGCCCGGATCAGGCAGGAGAGGACGGGCCCCGAGGCTCCGCCACACCAAGGACCACCACGCACAAGGTGGGGCACGGGAGCACTGGGGCTCGGGCACCTCGACCCAAACCCGTCCGTCTGTTGGGGTTCATCCTGGTGCCCTGGAGCGGCGATTCGCTCCCAGCAGAGCTGCAGCTGCACGCCGGGAGCTGGGCCCTAGCGTGAGAGAGACGGGAACAGGGCATCAGCGGAGGCTCGGCATGAAAGCTGTCGGCTCACCAGCGCCTGGGGAGACGGGGAAAACGGAGCCGGGGCAGCAGAGAGGCCAGATCGGAAACCGCAGCTCCGCCAAAGCAAGGCTGGAGAACGCTGCACAATAGCTGTGTAACAGGGAATAAAATCCTTGAGTTGTGTCTGAAGCCTTAGTCAAGGCTGATCCGATGCAAGAGGACCTCTGCCTTGCAAAACACTCGCGTTCAGGAATTGGCAAGTTCAATCATGAAAGTTATCATCTGGCAGACTGAGCACACAATGACCACACGGACCTCCGCCGAGAAATTTTAGGAGCGTAAATGAAGTAAGGCCAGTTGCACTGCCTCGACTAATCCCCTGTTGTGACCCTTCGATATCCATTTACACATTTGCTTCTTCCCTAAAATAATTCCAAACTGAATCCGGGCTTTAACAAAGAAAAAACCCAAACCAGTTTAACTTCAAAGGGCCTTTTAATCTCTCCTTTACTTGGATGAAATGGGCTTTTTGTATTGAAGATGCTGCAACAATAAGAAATGAAAAAGCTCAGAGAAAATATTTTTCCCTCTGTAAAGAAAATTAATATTAAGAGGAAAATACCAGACCAACAAAAGCCAAGTTAACAGAGATGGCTCACTGAAAACCAGCAGAAACATGTTTACTTTAGCCTATCTTTTTGCTAAAGCACCTGTTGAACCTCTATATTTTAGTGTTGAGTGAAAGAAGACACCCAAATGCCAAGGGGGAAAAACAAAACAAGAGAGATGCCCAGTTGCTTATCTTCCCCCCCCCAGACACAAAGAAAGCTACCCGAATGTCAAGGGAAGGGGGAAAAAAAAAATCCACCCACCACCAGACCAACAAAAACCCACTCAAGCACCCAGAGGAAAACTGCCATTCAAACACCAAGTTTTATCAGAAAAACAAACACACCGCAGAGTGCCGGCAGCACCGACGCTCCCGCTAATCTCGCCAACGAGCCTGCGCGGCTCCGTCCTGTGCGCCCGGCAGCACCCGCGGAACACAAATCCGGCTTCGCTTTTTCACGGGGTGGTGCTTACGAACCCGCAGCAAGAGAAGTGGTGAAGCCTCTCCCCAGCAATATGTGAGGACATAGAGCTGCAGATTTGTCTTTAAAAAGTGGGGTTTTTTCCCCAGAAGTATCTAAAAGCCTTGCGAGTGAGCCAGCCGGGCTGCTCGGTGGCAGCGGCTGTGCTGTGACTGTCTAGGTTGGTGCCCCCGTGGTCACAGGCTTTCCTGCCAGCCCCTGCAGAAACCCGATGGCTCTAGCATTTTCTGCTGATGGCTTACAAGAAATTGGGCATCACAGAAGTGTTCCTCACCCTGGAAAGTCAGTATAAACTAAAAAAAAAATAAAATCCATTCAACACACCAGAATTGGAGCAACAGTATTGAATTTAAATAGTTACACTGCAAATAGGATGATCTTTATTTTAGAATACCAAGGTCTGTATCAAGCTACATTTAAGACTCTTCTCTGCTTAGATACACCATGCTGAAAAAAAACAAAACCCAAAAACCAGCCCACGTTCCTGCCCAGAGGAACCGGTGGCAGACAGCCTCGCAGTGCTGCGACGAAGCTGTGTTGGAAAGCGCCGGGCACCGCTGCAGAAATAAATCCCGT